GATCGCGTATGGCTCTTTCAGAAATTTCAGATTTTATTATTTTGGTTACTCTCTAGGGGTCCAAGTAGTGGGTTGTACTTGGATCACTACAATCATCAGGCCAAATCCCAGGTTGGAAGTTAAAAGACACGAGTCACCAGAAGGAGTGATTTATTGTGTACAAAACTCCCAATTGCAGTCCCAGGTGGCAGTGGCCACTGGCGAAGCCAGGGCTAGTTTTGATTGCGTCCAGCCAGACCTGAGAGAGCTTGAGACAGTGGTGACAACTGATTCAGTTGGATTGCGGAGCAGGTTCAAGTGTTTTGTTATTGGTGTCTTGCAATTGCCCGGGGAATATCGCCTGCAGAGGTCTTTGCTGCATCGGCCGAAGAGGAGGGGTTTATTCAAGTGGCCCTTAGGCAGGCGTGCTTATTTGGACGCGCATGTATGCTCGGGTGTGTGGGCGTGACTGAATAAACTACGGTCAACTGTGGGGGCTGCCCGAAAACCGAAGAAAAGTGGACGCTCGCGCAGCTGTTACCGGTTAACCAGATGCAGCTGCGAGGTCAAACCTCGGGGGACGGGAATATCAGTGAATTGGAGCATTGTAACAACGCATGACTTTGGGGCCGCAGGGCTTGGAGAACGAAGGGGGGCAGGCATTATGGCCGTCCAATGACGTGCCGCCGCCGAGACGCGTATTTGAATCAATTTAATCTCGAATAATCTCTGGCGTTTCGGCATCCCCAGGTTTGACCTGGCTGGTCCCTTTCCGGCTTGCCGACAGCAACTGCTTCCGTTTTCTCCTGCGTCCCAACAGCGACGACAGGCTCGCTAAATAACAAACGCTCTACTAAAGCACGACAGTCCACAGACTTGACCTCAGCCTGAACAAGGTCACGCTGGCAGAAAAGGCTATCTTACGCGCATAGGCCAGCCGGCTTTGTTACATATAGTGCCTCGTGCTTATGTCTTCCAGACGGAGCAAACAGCCCATTCGCCAACATTTGCCTTGTGGACTAATACATCGATCCTAACATCTGTCTGCTTTCTTTCATCAGATGGATCGCAAATCTTCGAACGCTACACACTCTCTCTCATTTGCCAAAAGTTAATCTCTGCAACAAAAAGTATGGTGAAGCGAAAAATAGATGAGGAGTATCGTAT